TACGTTACTGCCACCCCATGGAGCCCACCCACTGCTGTTTAAGACAGGCTCTCGCTATGCCAGGGTCTTCCTGCCTCAGCCTCCTGGCAGGGACTGCAGGCATGTGGCACCACACCTGGCTCTTGTCGGACAGGCTCCTGCTGTGTTGTCCAGGCCAGCCTCGAAGCTCAAGGTCCTTCTGCCTCAGCCTCCCAAGCTGCTGGGCTCTCAGGCTCACACCACCGTGCCTGAGGTTCAGGTTGATGGGGCCTCGCTCAGGCCCCCGTGGGGGCCCAGCCAGTGGGCCACAGCGTTTAGCAGCACAAGCCATGGCTGGTCCCATATGTCCGCCTAGAACTGTGTATTGCGCACACGGGTCAGAGTCCACACGAACTCTACAGCTTGATTTCTCCCACAGCTAACAGGTCTCAGAGGGCTTCTCTGCACACACGTGGGCCCCCTTCCTCCTGTGGACCCTGGTGGAGGCGGCACTGCTCACGAACACCCCTCCTGCTTCCCCCAATCCCAGCCGCTGGCGGTGACATGGGGCCATGTGCTCGCTATGGTCCATGTGTCACACAGTGACACGGCCAGCTCTGATCCACAGGAGACGGGACGAGAGGCCTGGTTTTGTCTTCAGGCCTAAGACTTCACGATGGGCACCCTTCTCCCAGAGGGAGTCTCAAGGGGGACTTGCAAAGGAGGAGGCGAGGGCAGGGAGTGCTAGCTGCCTATGCCAGCACCCAGCCCCTTCCATCTCGGAGCACGGACCTCACCTCAGCTGGGCCGACGCCAGGTGTGGCTGTGCCAGCTCTGGTGGGAAGGCTGCTCAAATGGGGAGTGGCGGGTGGACTCACCCGGGAGGGGGTCTTTTGCGTCCCCACATTTCTGGACTGTCCATGCTCCTAAACAGACATCTGAGAGTCCAGGTGTTCCCCTCATCCCTTACTTGGCTTAACTGAGGTGGTGGGGAGGCCACAAAAGCTGCCCCCTTTTAAGGCTCCTCCCTCGCCAAGCCCTCCTTCCAGGTGTTTCCCTCTTGTCCTTGTACCAGAGCAGCCCACCCCATGCACAGCTGCCGGGACCTGTTCTGAGCATGCTCAGTCACACCATCACAGGCGGGAAAGATTTGGCGTTTCTGGCTGTGCAGGTGCTTGAGCACCCACAGCAGGGCCAGCAGGCGGCGTGGTTGAGGCACTGGATTCTTACAAGGTCGACTGTGGTTACAATCCCGGACCCAGTGGCTTGAAACTCACGCCGGGCGCATGTGCATGCAAGCCCAGAGTCCTAACAGGCAAATGGAGGAGAAGGGATCGTGGCATGGCCATCCTTCCTGAGGGACGATTTCTCACTTTCTCTCTGTTTCTGTCTCCCTGGCGAGTGCACATGCCCAACAGTGTGTGTGTGTGTGTGGGGGGGAATCTCTCTCTAAAAAAATAAAGATTGAGAGGACCCACAGTAGCATGTACGCACCAACTGCTCACGGTTTGCACAGAGGATTCCTGGCCATTCCTGCGGACGCCTCTTCGGTTCTGCCTCCTTAATCCAAGACTTTTTGGTATCCAGGTTCTTGGTGTTTCAGACAAAGAATTGAATGAAGCATGCCAATAGTGAAAGTAAAGGAGAGTTAATTAAGCAAAAGTGAAGTACACTCTGGGGAGGCGGGAGCAAGCCCAGAGACAGTGGCTCAAAGACCCCAGGAACGACTTCGCTGGGGCTTGTTCCTTAACCAGGCGCTGGCTGGGCACACTGACTGCTTTTCCCGTTGCTATATATCAAATGTGGCCGGGCCCACTGAGTCATCTCATCATCTACATAGAACGTGCTGCGCCCCGATTGCTCCCGTTGGCTGTCAGCTAGACGTCTCCCACGGAAAGTTCCCCACCTGTACCACTCACGTGGGGAGTTCTCTGCCCTGTTAGTTTTTCTCACTAGCCACGTAGGCAGATGCTCCAGCCCCTTTACCCACTTCCCTTCTCCAGCTTTCTTCCTGCCTCGGCAGCAACAAACAGAAGCCCACGCGAAACGGCTTCTATTGAAACAGGCATCTTAGAGCAGGAGGTGGGCTAAGCTGCAGGGGCCAGGGTCCGGAAGGCCTTTAGGAAGGGAAGTTTCTCCCACCTGCGTGGGACGGCAAGGTCTCACAGCCCTGACTCCCCAAAGATCAGGAATGTCCACCTGCCCTTAGTCCACGCCAGTGACTTCACTGTGTCCCTTGAAAGAATGAGTCAGCCAGGAGGGGGCAGAATATGCACCCACTGAACAGAAAGCACACTCATTAGGCACACGCCTACACCAGACCCCACACCTGGCTTGGCGACTCTGTCCGTAAAAAAGACAAGATTCAGGGGGACCAGCAGTTAGCATAATGGCTATGTTGCTGGACTCCCATGTAGTCGACTGCAGTTCAAGTCCGGGACCTGGTGGCTTAAACTCATGCTGGCTCATTGTGCGTGTGTGACCAAGATCCTGAGAGGAGAATGGAGAAGGGATTGTGGCATGGCCATCCCCTCTGGGGAGTGATTTCTCGCTTTCTGTCTGTCTTTTTCTGTCTTTCTGGCGAGCGCACGTGCCCTATAGCAAAAACCTCTAAAAAGAAAAAAAGAAAAAAGATCGCCTCCTGCTCTCAGCACAGAATGGGCATCTTACAGTCTCAGCAGGAGCAGGGCAGCCCTGGGGGAAGTCACAGAGGACACGGACAGGCTGCACATTTCCTGGTTTGGAGGCCCTCATTACATGCGTCTGGGATTAGCCTGGAAAGCAAAGTCATCTGATATCAAAACAACCTCTGAAGAGAAATCCACGAAGGAAACAAGCGTTCTTTGTGCTTTTAAATATGAATATGGCCAGTGACGTTAGTGAAGGTGGGTAAGGAACCCTGAAAGTCTGTTCCTAAAAAGTGGCCCAGCCACGGTGGTGCAGGTGATAGGACATCACTGTGCAATACTGGAGCCGTATGGAAGGCCCTGGGTTCAAATCCTGGGTCAACCTGAACCTGCCGGGTACCCCTGAAGGCACGCCTGTGGTCCCGACTGGCCGGAATGCTGGGGAAGAGGTGGCATCGCGAGGTGGCATCGCGAGGCTCTCTCTTCTTCTCTCAATACACTTTAAAAAATGAAAGCAACAGAAAATTGGCCAAAAATGCCGGAGTCAACTTTTTGGGATCTGGAAATTAACCAGAGACTCACATCAAGCCAGGAAGCGCTTATGGAGGGAACTGCTGCGTCTCAGCAAGACCGCGGCTTCCTGGAGATTTCACCTCCTCTGGTGCCAGGCCCTGCTCACTGGCTCAGTAGTCGCCTGAAGACAGAGATCGAATATACACACAGTGGCTGGGGCACGTGTGCAAACAGAACTCTGACCCACAGCCTGCAGCAACTAGCCCCAGAAACAACTCCTTATCTACAGCTGAAAGCCCGGGAGACACCCTATGTGAGTCAGACTAGCAGGAAGTCAGATGCCATTTCTAGCAACGGTCCAGGAAGGGAGAAAGCTGAGCATGCCACACCCCAGCCACACAGGAGGCCCTGCCCCAGCGAGTCCCAGCGAGTCCCAGCGAGTCCCAGCGAGCCCCCAGCGAGCCCCAGAGAGCCCCCAGCTCTCCAGGCCCATGGCCTCTGGGCAAGGTGTGCCTGGGCCTTCTCTTCCCACTGTGGCTTTCCCTCGCTGCCTGTTGATCTCGGCCAGCACCGGTGACAGTGGCAGCCCCATGCCAAAGCCAGCTCTCAGAGCCGCCCTGGTTATAATCTTCATTTGGGTGGTCTTTGTTTACTTACACAAAAATAACAGCCCACGTTCCCAGCATAGAGGAAGCGGAACAGATCTCATTCATGAAAAATTGTCACTATTTGACCCATCTTGTAACTCCTCGGAGGAGCAGCTCAAAAGACTTGTGTCATATCTCCTGACTTGGAACTTGCCCAGCGCTAAGCCACTGTGCAGGGGGACCTGCAGGAATACTTCCGGGCAGCTGTCTTAGTTGCCGTTGCCCAAGGCACTAAGAATGCCAAGGCAGGAAGAGCTCGGCTCCTTCCTGGAGGATGGCAGTAGGGACTGATATCAGGCAAGCACGTCACTGCCACTGGGTTCTGCGTCTTTATGCTCTTCCAGCTGGTGAGGAAGACTACGAGTTCAGACCAACCCAGGCCACACATCTGACCTGAGCCCCGTGTCTGTGCCGACATCTACACGTAACCAGGGGTGCTGTGTGAAAGTAACCGTGGCTTCACACCCATGTGTAGTCGATCCCCACAGGGGGCGTGCTGGCTTCCTCCCCTTGCTATGTGCCTCCAACCATGAGGAATGCACACCGCCACCTGCCCCACCGCTGCCGAATTGTTCCGTCCCGGCCTGTCTGTGTAGTGGCCTCGGAATCAGTAGCTCAGACCTCTAGGGCGACAGTTCCATCGGTGAGCGGGGGGAGCGGGTGGTGGTTACATGCAGCCCCTCTGGCCTGAGTCTAACTGGTGCCACTCACATCCGGAACTGCTTAGGTCTGCACTTCCTCGTCCCCTTCAGTGAGGCTGGTGCACACATGTGCCATACGTTAGGTCCGCTGGTCACATTCTGCATTTCTTCTGGGGTCCCCCAACCTAAGTGTAAGCTCAGGAGGAGAGTAATCGACTTTCAGATATTAACAGGTTCCTTCTTCATTCTAGGTCAATTCTTTGGGATTTTCCACAGATCATTTTGTCGCCACCTTTCCGATACGGGTGCACTTCATTTCTGTTTTCTTGTCTCGTTTCACTTCCGAGACTTCTGCTATGGTGTTAAATAGTAGTGGTAAGAGGGGTAGCTTTGCCTTCTCTCCAGTCTTAGGGAGAAAGCGTTCAACTTCTCGTTACTAAGTATGATGTTAGTTGTAAGATGTTTATGGATTTTTAAAACTCAAGTTGCGGAAGTTCTCCTTTATTCCCAGTTTACTGAGAGTTTTTTGTTGTGTTTTGTTTTTACCATGGTTCATGCTGCACCTTTTGAGCTCGTCCTGTAAATCCCTTCACCGTTCCCTTTGTTTTGTGCAGATACCCAGCCATGTCCTTCTGTTTACAAGCTTTGTGTTCACTAATCACGACGTGCTAAAACTTCAAAACAGTGCTGCGTGCATAATGTTCTTCACCAACAAGTGAGTCATATCATTAGCTAAGTACTAAACCTTTAAAATGGCTCCCAAGAAAGTTTCAAGTTTGGAAAATTGCAAATACAAGTGAAAGGAGAACAAAAACTACAAAATCAAAAATGTAGGAACTGTTTTGATGATTTTTTTTTTCCCAGAAAAAACATTGACTCAGCTTTGAACAGAGGAAGTGAATTTTTTTTAGAGAATTCTTTTTTTTTTCTTTTCAGAGAGAGATTTTTGCTCCAGGGCATGTGTGCTTGCCAGAGAGATAGAAAGTAAGAAATCACCATGGAGGGGGGAAAGTGGGGGGGATGGCCACACTCCAACCCTTCTCCTCCATTCTATCGAAATTTTGGGCACACATGCACACATGCCCAATGTGTTTTAAGCCACTGGGCCCAGGTCTCAAGCCGCAGTTGACTATGTGAGTCCAGCGATGTAGCCATTATGCCATCTGCTGGTCCCATTTAAGAGACTTCCTTTAAATTCATCATTGCTGAAAATGAAAAATCCTGGACAGTTTCTGGAGCGGCAGCGACCGCAGCAAATCATCCCTCTCCAACATGTGGACCCCAAATGGGCTGTTGCTGTCGTATTTCACCCAAGGGTCTTGGACCCTTGGATGGAAAGAAGCTGTTTCTGGTTCTCAGCTTTGGTGGACTTTAAGAAGTCTGGGATCTTCTCAAAGATAAGATCTTCAGTTCTGCTGGATCCATAGTACTAAGCCACTGGGCCACCCTGAAGGAGGGCTGGGGTAGCTGACAAACGTGTTGGTCTCTTCACAACATACCCCATTATACGTCCTGTGGGGAAGAGTCGGGGAGCCTAGGGGGAGCTCCACAATGGAGAGGGAAGAACGAGGCTAAAAGGGGCTCCTACGCCCTTCAAGATGACAACACTCCTGGAAGCACTTCGATTTCATGAGAACGAGGGAAGTAAACTGAAGGCAGCAGACAGTGCTTTGTGACCACCTTGAACAAGAGGCCTTGATGTTCCCGTGGCCTCCCACCAGCAGCTGTATCTGATACGGCATTGGGGTGGGCGGCATTGATGAGAATGATTTTTTTCAAAGAAAATAGTCTGGAACATTATTTGGCATTTGTTTATAGAATGGCAGCAAGTAGAATATACTATCTTGAGAAATACTGACTTAAAAATATGGTGCACTCACAGCGTAGGGTCATTTCCTTAAAGAGACGGTAAGACCGCACGCATGGTAGTACTGTCCCATCCCTCCTACAAATGATAGCACAGTTGTTTTCGAAGGGACTAGAGCTCATTCACTTCCTCCTAATCGGCCTCTCATCTGTCTATCTACCCACCTACAGAGTCAAATGTTAAATCAATGTAACAAAGCAAGTGACTTATAAGTAAAAAGAAAGAAAGAAAGAAAGAAAGAAAGAAAGAAAGAAAGAAAGAAAGAAAGAAAGAAAGAAAGAAAGAGAAAGAAAAGGGAAACTGTGTCTCTTTCTCCATTACCCAAATTCTGACACACTTACACAGTATTGGTGTGAAGGGGTCTCAGAGAATTAAGATGCCAGGGCCCCTTCCCTGGGACCTCAGTGCTGGACGATTCCAGGGGCACCACTGTCACCTAATCCAAATGGGTTTCCCGCTGCTGCACAGTGAGGCCAGAACACTGAAACACCAGGGCTGAGGAGGGGAAAAGCTGTATTGCAAGGTCCAAGCAAGGAGGAAAGGGGATAATTCTCAGATCCACTCCCACCCTGTGAAAAGTAGGGTCTTCTGTAGCGGAGTAATTCCCACCCACGCCTTCAGTTAGGTCCTGAGTGCCGATGAAAGACGGGAAGTGGGGCAGCTCTGATTGGCTGGCCAGGGTCGCAGTGCCACTGGCTTCCGAAGTTTCCTATGCAGACGAAGACTGGAGCTGGTGTGGCCAGCCTGGCTGACCAGAGCAGCAGCCACTGCTGTCCTCCCCATGGCTGGAGTTGAGCTATCGTCACTTCGCCAAACTTGCCCAAGTCAGTACTAGGCTTTTCTATCTTTCTTTCTTTCTTTCTTTCTTTCTTTCTTTCTTTCTTTCTTTCTTTCTTTCTTTCTTTCTTTCTTTCTTTCTTTCTTTCTTTCTTTCTTTTTCTTTCTTTCTTTCTTTCTTTCTTTCTTTCTTTCTTTCAGTGCCAGAGAGCATGTGCATTTGCCAGAAGAGACAGAGCGAGAGCGAGAGGGAGAAAAGCTCCCTGGTGGATGGACACGCTGCAATCCCCTGTCCTCCATTTCTCACCCTGTCGGATTTGGGGCACACATGCACACGGGCCCCTGCATGTTTTCCACACTGGGGCTGTGTGGCCATTCGTGTGAAATCTGCCTCCCTTAAGCTCCGGGCCACGGAGTGGGCCCTGGATCTGTCCTCCCAGGCCCTTTCTTCCCGGTTATTATCATAAAAACCACTGAGGTAGAGTCCTGTGCTCACTGGCCCTGAGCTGCGACAGACAGGTGAAGTCCCCAGAGAAGAATGGCAGAGGGGAACTGTTGGTGGCCATCTCCTCTGGGGGGCAGGGTGAGCACACAGCCCTATGGCAAAAACCTGCAAATAAAAATCAACGAACGAATAAAATCTTTTTAAAAGAAGGACAACGAGGACAAGGTGGTGAGCAGACGCAGGGGAGCTCAGTAATCTGTCTGCGCTGGTTCAGGTGTCACCGTGCACGGCTCCGCGCTGAGGTTTCGGCTGCCTGCCCCCTCGTGCCTGCCTTCCTGCCTTGATCTTGGCTCACAGACGGTCCCGGCGCCGAGAGGAGCCATCAAGAGGGTAAGGCTCCTCTTGCCGTTTCGTAATCACGTAAGCGTAGCAGGCACACTTACCGAGGATGGACCTTCCCCACAGTTTTTAACAGGGCAGAATGTTTCAGCCTTTTGTTAATTAAAGCGTTTCATTGTTCCCATAAGTGAGCAATAATAGACTGAACGTGTGTTATTGTCTAACAGTGCACCTTTCTGTACCTGAAATTCGTAATAGGAAAACAAAAGCACCCGAACGAGGTTTTTGTAAATATGGTCCTCGTCATGTCCCTTCCCTGCTTTGCGATAGTTAATGGCAGTAAACCCTCTAGCTGGTTTCCTGTGTGTAAATATGTTCTTTTTTTTTTTAAGAGAGAGTTTTGCTATAGGACCTGTGCACTCATCAGAGAGACAGAAAGCGAGAAATCACCCAGCATCAGGGATGGCACGCCACAATCCCTCCCCCTCCACCCTCCTTTTGGGATTTTGGGCATGCATGCACATGCACCCGGCATAAGTTTTAAGCCGTCAGGTCCAGGACTTGAACTACGGTCCACTACATGGGATTCCAGTGACATAACCTTTATGCCATCGGCTGGACCCTGAATATGTTCTTTTTTTTTTTTTTTGAGAGATTTTCACTGTAGGGCGCATGCGCTCGCCAGACAGACAGAGAGAGACATAGAGACAGAAAGCGAGAAATCGCCCCCCAGGGGGGATGGTCACGCCGCAATCCCTTCTCCTCCATTCTCCTCTCGGGATCTTGGGCACGCACGCACACGCGCCCGGCGTGAGTTTTAAGCCACCGGGTCCGGGACACGAACCGCAGTCGACTACGTGGGAGTCCAGCGACATAGCCATTACGCTAACTGCTGGTTCCCAATATGTTCTTTTTATAGTTAGCCTATCTTACTTTCTTGATTCTGCTAAAAGGAAAAATAAAATAATAGTTGGGACATAGCTTTTCTTCAAAAAGGGGCGAAAGAAAATATTTTTAAAGTAAAGGTTGTAAGGATGTGGGGTCAGCAGATGGCATGGTAGCTAAGGATGGGTCCCACGCCAAGTCCCAGATCTGGAGCGTTCCAAGCTTGGCACGTGTGCTTGTGTGTCGAGAATCCCGAGAAGTGAATGGAGAGGAGGGGACTGCAGTGTGGCCATCCCCTGGGGGGTGATTTCTCACTTTCCTCTCTCTCCCTCTCTCCCTCTCTCTCTCTGTGTGTGTCTCTCTGGCCGGTGTACGTGCCCTACAGCAAGAACACACAAACACCAGTGTTAGGTTTTCCAGTCATTCCAAACACATGTGCTGAGTACTCAGGACGCCCAGACACTGCTGGCGACTGTTGGGGCTGTGAGCAGAAGACAGGCCGAATGGTTGCCCTTGGAGCGTGGAGCTGGTGGAGGAGGTGGTCCCGGCAGAACCAGGGCACCGCTGCACACAGCGGAGGAGCGCTAGGCCGAGAGCACCACACCAGGCTGCGGGGCGTGGCAGGAGGACTGCACATGGACAAAGGCCGGAAGATGGTGAGATCGGGGAGTGGCCCTGGACAGGGAGCGGAGCGTGCGAACGCCCCGACGTGCAAGTGTGCGGGCTTGCCAGAGGACCAGTGCGTGGGGAGTGCCTGGGTCAGGCAGGCGGTGGATTTCTCACTTTCCTCTCTCTCCCTCTCTCCCTCTCTCTCTCTGTGTGTGTCTCTCTGGCCGGTGTACGTGCCCTACAGCAAGAACACACAAACACCAGTGTTAGGTTTTCCAGTCATTCCAAACACATGTGCTGAGTACTCAGGACGCCCAGACACTGCTGGCGACTGTTGGGGCTGTGAGCAGAAGACAGGCCGAATGGTTGCCCTTGGAGCGTGGAGCTGGTGGAGGAGGTGGTCCCGGCAGAACCAGGGCACCGCTGCACACAGCGGAGGAGCGCTAGGCCGAGAGCACCACACCAGGCTGCGGGGCGTGGCAGGAGGACTGCACATGGACAAAGGCCGGAAGATGGTGAGATCGGGGAGTGGCCCTGGACAGGGAGCGGAGCGTGCGAACGCCCCGACGTGCAAGTGTGCGGGCTTGCCAGAGGACCAGTGCGTGGGGAGTGCCTGGGTCAGGCAGGCGGTGAGGGGGAGGGCTCAGGCCCCTAGAGGACAGATGAGTAGACTCTTGTGGGCCATTGCTGGGTTTAGGCTTCTGCTCAGAGAAGGGTGGGAAGCTGGCTTACTGGCGGGATCTGAGAGGAGTGTACAGTCCTGCTTCTGATTTTCTTCCTTCCTTTTTATTTTTAAAATTTTGCTACAGGGCGTATGTGCTTGCTGGAGAGATGTGGAGAGAGGGAAAGAGAGAAAGCACCCCCAGCCCTCTGGGGGATGGCCACACTGCAATCCCTTCTCCATTCTCCTCTCGGGATTTTGGGCACGTACACTTCTCAAGCCTCCAGGTCCAGGACTTGAACGCACAATCAACTGTGTGGGATGCAGCCACCTTAATCATCACACCACTCGCTGGCCCTGGTTTCCTTTATTTTTAATTTTTTAAGACAGTGTCTTAGCATGTCTGAATCCTCCTTCCAGGCCTCCCAGCTGGGACGACACACCTGGCTTTTTTTTCCCCTTAAGGCAGGGTCTCACCTCACTTGTGTTGCCTGGGCTTGAATTTACGAGCTTCCTGCCTCAGCCTCCCTCGCTGAGACCCAGGGTTGTGCCACTGTGCCCGCCTTCAAGCTGGACTGAAATCAACCCGAGGCCTCCTGTGTGGCCTGAGTAGTGCAGACTGAGCAGCTGGAAAAAGAGTCACCCCACGCGTTCCAGGGGACTACAGGAAGGAAGGCCGGGACGGGGAGCAGCGTCAGGCTCCAGCCGGTCTCTGGGTACCGGGAATAGTTCAGTGGTGGAAGGGCCGGAAGTGCTCAGGTTCTGGGCTTACTGACAGGTATGACTGATCAGGGTGGGAGAGAGGTCTAGGGAGAGACCAGGTGAGCTTGACCCTGAGTCTGTGGCCTGAGCGTGGGAAGGACGGGGATGAAGCCAACAGAGGTGGGAGAGGCCGAGGGGGTAGGCCAAGGGGCCTGGGGTGGCCCTTCTTTTCTAATGCAGACATTAATTATAAATGCACGCTATTGGCTCGACATTTCCACTCACGCTCTACGGGCACCCGATAATGTCAATGTTGGGTTTTCATTTCTATTCAGTTCAAAATATTTTCTAATTTTATTTTTGATTGACCCATGGCTTATTTAGAAGTGTGTTATTCAGTTTTCAAATATTTGGTGATTTCCCAGAGACCTTCTTTTTCTGATTTACATTTAATTCCATTGTGGCCAGAGAACATACAGGGAGACTTCCAAAAGTTCATGGGAAACGTGTATTATTATTATTATCATTATTATTATTTTGGAGAGGTTTTTGCTATAGGGCTCATGCGCTCGCCAGAGAAACAGAGAGACAGAAAATGAGAAATCACCCCCCAGGGGGAATGGCCACACCGCAATCCCTCCTCCTCCATTCTCCTCTCGGGATCTTGGGCACGTACGCACAGGCGCCTGGCCTGAGTTTAAGCCACTGGGTCTGGGACTCGAACTGTGGTAGACTACATGGGAGTCCAGCAACATAGCCATTATGCTAACTGCTGGTCCTGGGAAATGTATATTATTTTTTAAAATACACAGATTTAAACTTTTTTGGTACCAAAATAGTCTTGTACTTTAATTTCACTTTCCCACCAGATTTGTGAAGTTTTCTCATACTTTATGCCTACTGAAATTCTTTAAGCATTCTTCACGATTTCTTTTCTGGTCCACGGTATAGTCTCTCCGATGACTGGGTCCTGGCATGAGGTCACGAGGCTCTGCTAATCAGAAAACTGTCTTGGGCCGCTCTGGAGACATCGGGGAAATCATTGTTTCCGGTGTGGACAAAACTTGCAGTTGTGACATCGTGAGTGGGATGAACTGTGGGGTGCTGACTGACGTGACAACCACGGCTCTGAAGCATCGGGATTCTTGCCTGAGACGTCTGCTGTGTGGCTGCCTCGCTTCGAGAGACCCCGCAGCCTACAAAAACCGACGCACTCTCAGGAGCGGTGAGCTTTGAACTGCTAGGGTAGAAGCCAAGCCAAAGGTTCAAGGGAAAGCAGCTCAAGCTTTCTGAACGTTTGGAGGAGGGGACAGCAGAGGCATTTCTAGAAAAGTGAGAGCAGAGCACACTCAGCCGCACAGACTTATGGTCCCTTGCGGGACAGAGTAGGCCAGGGAGGGAAAGGTCTAAAGAAGCTTCTCATTCCTAAGTGGGCTTCATGGCTGCTGTGGACAGGTGCACAGGTGTGCATTGCACAGCTCAGAGCCCCCGTTAACATCACACACGGTACGGGGCAAGGGGGGCAAGAGCTTTGACCGGGTGCGGCCTATGGCCTTGCCATATCGAACACCTTTTGGGGCCAGCCACTGCGAACCTGAGAGCCTGCACAAACCCTGTAAGCAGCCTCTGATCTTTGCAATGTGGCACCCCACAACTCTTCCCCAGGGGCCCTGCCAGTGCGGTTCAAAAGCCTGGGAAAAGTAAAAGGGTGTGACCCCAAGTCCATGCCCGGTTCACGCCCTGCTGTTCAGCGTGGTGGAGCCTGTACTGCTCGCAGCCAGAACACGGCCAAGGCGATGAGGTTCCCCCCGCACCATGGCATTGGGACAGACACAGACAAGTGCATGTTACCAGCCCCAGAGATTGTCCTGTCTGGCCTGGGGGCACAAGGAGCCAGAGGTGAAGTTCAGCCGACAAGGACCGCTAGCACGGCCTGGGGGCCTCCAGTCACAGCTGGAGTGGCAGGGCACTCGGCCACCGGCCACCAGCTCGTAGCAGACAGATGCACTCCCCAGTGGAGCTCCAGCAGAGAGCAGAGGCCTGACCCAACCTGGACTCCTGAGACCATGGTCTCTGAGGACACTGCAGGGTCACGCACCTCCAGCCACATGCCAAACGTGTCACTGTCAGCTGCGAGTTTGTGGGAAGGGTCACACGGCTCCGAAAATTAACACTGAGCTCTTAGGAACACATTCCGGCTGAAAGGGGACAACAGGGACCCTGCCTTCAGTGGCGGGTGTGCCGTTTTTCCTACAGTGTGC